CCCCGCCCCTACCCAGTGCATGGGGGAGGGCACGCGGAGCTGGCGGCGGCAGGACTCATGTACCCGGCCCAGCCCAGCTCAGCTACCACCGCTGGTGCGGGGGCCGGGGCAGGCCGAGCAAGACCCCGCGGCCATGGGAGGGCAAGGCGCTGCTGGCCGGCACTGCGGGGGTTAACGCGTCTCCCACCCTGGGTGGGTGCTGCAAGGTGGCCGCTGGGAGCTGCTGCAGCCCACGATCTGGGAGCTGGGCACACAGCGCCCCTTACAGCTGTCATCAGGCGCCTCCCATAGGTTGATGCCCTGGGCAGCTGCCCGCTAGCCCATGCCTTAATCCGGCCCTGGCTCCACACGGGGGATTTTTGGCATTTATTCAATGCATACACAGCACACAACTCGGAGTTCAGCCCACGTATGCCTTCTAGTGCTGGGCCTTGCTTTTGCACTGACTTGACCAGCCATGCGATTCCACAGCAGGGCAGGTAACGGACGAGTGGCCTGAAATGCCCAGAGCTGGCTGGCAGAGCAGCCTCAAAATCCCTGGGGCCCAGCCAGCCACCAGCCCAGGCATGCCCTCACCTGCTTGCTCCCGGGCTGGGGCACCTTTCCCTCTGAGCAGCAAAGGGAAACCCACAAGCGAGTGCCAGCTGCCAATGCTACAATTGCAGCTCCATGAGCAGGCTGGGTTAATGAACCCTTGGATTTCATCCTTGAGGTCTGCTTAAGACCTACCTCTGGAGTCAGGGCATGCAGTTTTAACTGCAACAGAGTTTGAGCTGGGTGCAGTTTCTCTTTGGGGCAGGGAGTTTGGTATAAAAGGAGGGAGGCAGGGTGATTAAGAACAACAAAAGACTGGGCATTCCACTCATTGAAGGATTGTTTGATTATCATGAAAACATCACCTGGTACGCCACTTAAAAGATGGGGAGGGGAAAAAAAGTAGGAATGAGTGTTGTGCTGCTGGGATTTGCATTTAAATCACTGCTATTAGACTTAAAAAAAACCTTAAAACATTAAAAAAGCAGTCATGCTGCACTTTACAGACTAACAAGATAGTTTATTAGGTGGTGAGCTTTGGTGGGCCAGTCCCACTTCCTCAGATCATATTCTGAAAGTGAATTGGCATGACGGTTATATAACATTGCATCCCTCTGTTATATAATGGTCAGGGCTCGACAAATAATACAATCTACTCACCCGTGGCGAGTAGATTGTAACCTGGAAGAGCCGGGTTCGGGCGATCTGTGCATGCGCAGAATGATCTGAGCATGCGCAGATCTCCGGACAGCACGGCTGGCGAGCAGGGTTTGCCGCAGTTCGGCGAGCCCTGATAATGGTCATGCCAATTCACTTTCAGAGTATGATCTGAAGAAGTAGGTCTGCCGCATGA